TACTGTCATGGAAAAAAGGATCTCATTTAAGTTCATCTCTGGAATAAATGCAGCTGAAAGCTGATAACTTGTGATAATTCTGTTGAGAATGATGAACAGTAGAGGAATAAAATGAGTTATTTGTATCTAATTTCTCATAGTTTAGCGGCAGCAGGAGTGGAGATGGAGTTTCGGTTATTTTCTTTGGATGTACTTCCAACTGTTTATATCATGACTAGGATATATACATCCTTAATGTTCATATCACTAATGAATAAACAACATTTTCTTTTTCTTTCTGTGACAATGTGACCTGCTTTCTACTTTCTGACTTGCCCACTTAAAGTCATTCATAATAGCTTAAAACCATCAATGGAAAAGACACGTCACAGCTCAAATGGGACATATTCTGAACCATGTAGTACTAACCCTTTTCTTTACGTCTTGTTGAAGATACTTATACAACTTATCTGGTTCTTGATGCATTTACTTACGTGCCAAAATTTGTGGCCAACATGATCTCCAATTTGATAAAATTATCTTCCGTTGAAGGCAAAGACACAGATGCTTAACCATCAATATGTACAAACCTCTAATTTTGAGTTTGTCAAGTCTATTTTGTCAACTTGATTTTTCCCAAGGCATCAACCACTGGATAAGCAAATAAACTTGCAGGATCAAATGGCCAATCAGGTAGGTAAGAGGAGACCCATGCGATTGATACATAATCAACAGAGGCAACATTATACATGCACATGTGCTACTGTGTTTAGATTTATATACACCAAAACTATGTGGGTCTGAAACAATCAAAACTCAATAGCATTGTTTAATTGAATAGAAAAGGAAGGTCTGCCAACATTGGAAAGAGGAGTATCAGCCCTCACAACTATCCCAGTCTTCCCCACATTCCCGTTCCATTTAGACCGGCCAAACTGCATTATATGGAAGAAGAAAACTGCATGAGCCCATAATCTCATGGAAAACTGCAATCTGTTAGTGCTGCTAAAAAAGTGGAAACAAAACAAAACAAAAACAAGGATTGGATAAATCTTCTAACAAAGGACAAATATAGTTCTTTTTTACTTTCCCGTGAGCCAACATGGCTGGAAACAGAGAGGAGGAAGGGGGTTTAAGAAGAAATGGAACACAGAAACCCTGGTTTTGGTGATTGGGTAACAGCAAAAAGGCCAAGAAATTGAAGCCCAGCACATACTCAGGGTTCTCACACTGCTTTGATGGTTTTATCCATCTTCAGCAAGTTACCAGAAAACAAGCCATTAAAAACTTCATTGAGATCTTTCTCCTTAAAAATGTAATTCTATAAATCATACCCATCAGGAAGAGTTAAGAATTAAATTTGATGCAAAAATACACAGCAAGGATCCAACAATCAATCTCAACCACTTCAGCACAATAAATCTTCCATGAAACATTATAGAATTAGCTTACCGATATTGATAAAAATGCCGAAGGATGAGATGTTGCAGCACAGCCACAGATCAAATTCAGATCTTCTCTCAACGAGTGAATAAGTTCTGCTCGCATTCCAGGACTGCTTCCACCAAGTGTTGGGCATAAACTGGTCAATGTGATAAAACAAAAGGTTATATATGTAATCATTGAATACAGTTTTCAAATTGAAAATAGAAAAAGAAACTCGTTGATGCGAATATTATATACCAAAGACACCAAAATGACAAGAGCAAAAAACAATGTTGATGTTGAAAAACACACTTTGATAACAGGGTTCATGCACAGCCAAGCTTTGGAAAGTTGTTGGAGAAAAACTAGAACTAATAGAAAAGAGGTCATGGTGGAAGAGAGCAAACCAACATTGTAGTTTCTGAAAAAAGACGATGACAAGTAATTTACTTTGTTACTCTACATAATTGCAGCAATAATTGGTAGGACATGAAATTCAGATTTATTTTACCAATAATATTATGCAATCAATTATTCAGGAAATTTGTTTATAAACTATTCAGCAAATAAGTGGTACCCACTACAAGAGAACCCAAACCAAGTCTCCAACTGATTTCCATAGGAAACATGTTTTTCTCGTGAAAAGATTTTTTCTTTTTTTTTTTGGGGGGAAACGATTAGAACCATATCAAAGACCCACAAACTGTCATAAAAAATTGGTAGAAAGCAACCAGGTACCACCTAAGGCAATTTACTAATACTCAAGCCCAAATGATGACAGCAGAGATAATAAAAATAATGACAATAACAAAAAAGGAGCTGGCTCAACTTTGAGTTTTAAGTTCACTTGCAATATTAAAAAGCCAAATCAATAATCATTAGGCAGCTTTTTCAGTTTTCATTCATAAGGCACTTCACATATATAGCCACTAAAGGCACACAGAGATCAAATATTTAGTTATCTACAAATAGAGGTTCAACTAAAGAGTAGACAAAAGCATATGAATTTACCTGAATTGGATGGTTGGCCTCATCATGATACCAGATCTCTGCCAAGCTATGGCTTGAGAAAAACTCAGCGTAAATGATTTGTCAGGCCACTGCACCATTGGCGTGATACGTGTTCCCCACTTATTCTGATGAAGCATTCAACGATAAAATTCAGTTCTCAAAGCAGGTACACCAATTACAATCATAAGAATATCTACCAATATTTATTTCACTTAAGTAATTATCACATTTTGTTTTGTTGCTTGTTCAGGATTTAACCTTGAAAGAGAAGCTAAATCTCATCTCCCCAGGATATTGACCCTGTGCTTGAAGAAGACCACCACAAATAGGCAAAAAAGCACTTGTTGTCAATCCCTCGCCAGAGACATAAGTAAACTGCCCATTTGGAAATTGCAAATCTACAAATGACTGCATGCAAGCAGGAAATCTTGAGAACATTACTTTGGAGGAAACTGATCCCATCATAAGAATACTAAGGTGAAAAAACTAACCCAATAGGAAAACATTTTCTTAATCTTAGAATCAAAATATAACTGCTTTTCTACATATGCCATCTTCGTGGATTAAATTGTCAAGAAGATCAATCAAAAGAAAATTACAAGAAAGAAAAGACTCTTCTTCCAGCAAGTACAGAAAAACAAAAAGGAGATAGGAAAGAGGAGATTAAAGATAGTCACCCCACAGCAACAAGCCTCTTCTTTTAATTTCTCTCTACCAAAAAATCAAGTTTAGGGCTGATTGAAATATGAGACACTTACGATTAGAAAATTTCAGAATTTCCATAAAAATTTTCAAAATAAAAATGAAATTTTATATTTTATCCAAGATGGATAACCAGATTCCAATATTGAGAAGTGCATAAACACATTTTAAGATGGCTACTCTAAATCATTCTTGTGAGTGTCTTTTGAAGTCAGGTTACTCAAAAGTTTATTACCTTTGGGCTGCTATTTTCTTCATTTGCCTAAGTACTTAAAAAATTAGTAAATCATCCAAGCTCAATGATCAAGGGAACCTGCAGGAAGTAAATATTTCAGAAGAACTTACACAAGCTAAAGGATTGAGACAGAGCATTGACATTAACAGCCACCTGCGATGCTTTGACCACATAGCCGGACAAAGAGAATGCATACCATTCTGATAAAAAAATTAATATTAGTAGAGTATAATAAAGGCAATAAAAACAGCAAAAGCAGAATCACCAAGACGATATGCTACCAGGTGGCAGAAAAAGTCAGGATGACGAACAATAATGCAAAAGAACCAATAGGAATATCAAATCTAATATCTGACAACTTTTTTAGGAGCTAATATATTGACAATAACAGATATTAGTTACGAATCTCGATGACCATATAATTCCATTTTACCAAATGCACTCACATATGAGCATTTTGAAACCTTATGTAACACTGGAATAAACAAAGATCAGGTGCCGGCTACCTAAGACCTACCAACATCAGAAAAAACATTAATTCTATGCTATTATAGTGGTTTGACTCACTGGCTATGACACATTGAAGTTTGGTGGCCATTTACACCTTAAAGGAGAACCAAACACAACCATTCCAGGTTGCACCCTCTTGGTGCTTGTGATTTATAATTTTATACTTTTTTTTGGAAAAAAGGCAACCATATTAGTCATGCATTTCCCATTTTATTAGAAGTTAGTCTGATATGTAAACATTCTGGAGAAAAAAGTCCCCAGATACTTCCCAAAGGAATACCAAGCTATAATGCATGTAACAGATTGTATCAAACCTAATTTAATATAAGTTTAGTACCAAAGCACCATATTAAGTGCCCAAACTTGCATCATACCTTTCTATCATACCCATACCAAAGCAAGTGTTGCTTTGACAGATGAACTGGTAGAAGAAGCGTTGTATCACGAACAAACAGTACCGGTCCAAGCTGGACAAGAAAGAGAGATGAATTGTCGTTTCCTGAAGTGGAACTAGCAGTTGATGCCTCCACTCTCCATAGATCTCCCCTTGCGACCAAGGAATGTTCCAGGTCATGTGTCCTACTGTCATACGTAGATGTCATATTTACAGTACCCTGCAACCGATGAGAAATAAAAAATTTAACAAAATTAAGCTTAAATTTATAACTAGTTTCCTAACCAGTTAACTTTGAGAAAAGATCACGACATAGAATTCCCCAGCAAACAAAAGAAACACAACATATAGTTAGCAAATCCCAAAAAAAAAAAAACAGAAAGTTCTTCTTCAAGCTGTGTAAGTTGCTGGTTCTTTCTATTGATAAGTCCGTAGAGATTGCGCGCTTTGTCACAAACTCAATTAAAAACTAAACCCTCAATTCTAGCTTTATTTTGCACATTGCAAGAAACTGCCCCTTATCCGAACTTTCATTAGTTCTTTATTTCATTGGACTGCTCAAGGAACCTTAAAAGTTTAGCTTCTGTAACCCCAGAAGAGTCTTGACCCACTTATGATCTCATCAAGGATATGCACTTTGGAACCTTTTGTGCAAAGTGGTCTCTTTCAAGACTGAAAACAATATATAAGGATTTATGGTTTCAAAACCTGTGTTTTTCTTTTTAGTTGATGATCGGCTACTTAAATTCTGTTGACTTACAGCAATAATTCAGTTGTAAATTCCTCTCCTCTAATCGGGTGGTACACTCTTGGTGTCCCCTTCATATTTATATATCATCACTTTTTGTCTCTAAAAGATGCTGGCAATAGCCACAAAACCAGCAATGATCTCACCAAAAAAGTACATCATGCTATGTTGATAATAACCACACCAAAATTTCTAGGGTCAGTATAAAACAATGTAAACCATTCAACTGCCAATATATTTGCATCTAAAATTTAGGGCCAGAAAATTTGTGTTTACAGCACTCTTTCTGCATCCTTGCAATTTTGTAACTGAAATCGCTATAAGCCTAACACTGAACTCAACTGAATTTTCTGAGTGGGCTCATTTATCTTATTTTTCACCATGTAACAAACTGCAATCCAAAAGGACAAACAGAACAAACGAGTTCACCTAAGTACATGGGAAGTGAACATGAAGAACCTGTTCATGTTATCTTATCCACCTATAGAGCAATAAGTTGCTTGAAATGGATAAAAAATTACATAAAGATAAATAACAAACTAGTACCAAAGACAATAATGCCTTCTGACAACGCTAACACAATAGCATGTAGAACAAGATAAAATTATTAGCCCATGCCATTAGGATCTAAACCTCAGTTACTAAGAACCACAAAGAAGAAAGATTCTAAGACGATACAACACCATAGTTTTCAAGATAAAATTACTCGTCCAT